AAAAAAAAAGACTATTCTTCATTTTCATTACCTACATGAAATTATTTTGCTTTAACAATTGTAATCCCTGATTCTGCTATTACTTGAATTCAAGGAAATCTGGAGTTGGCAAAAAAAACATGCATGAGATCTTTGTTAAACTGGCGGTTTTGTGAGTGAACGCAGCTAAACGTGTGGCAATAAACACTACAGCTGTGCTTCTCATAGACTTGGTTCAGAATTGGATGCTTTCAGGTGTTTAAGATCTAGTATTCCAAAATTCCAAACGTGTGCATTCCAGTTTATGAGTTTCATGTGTTTAAAGTGCATTTCTTACCTTCTTAATATCCCACCGAGTAGTGAAGCATTGAGACACTCTGGAGGAGAGAGGCGGCGTTTGACTTCAGCGATGGTGACTTTGTACTTTGAGGTAGAGCTGAGTAGAGAAAGTCTTCCTGGTACAGAGCAGAACAGGTCTGTAGGGTTCACTACACACGTGCCTGTACACAACAACAAACAACACGTCAAACCTTTGGAAATAACCGGCAATGGTGCTTGCATGTTCTGTTTGTGGCCACAAATGAGAAAATCACCCACATATTCTTCAGAAATTGAATAAAAATTACAGTATATCAGATTATTGCAAATAAATCAACTGATAATGATTCATAATCACTCATAATGCTTTTTATTTTGCAACTATTTCAAAAAGCATGCATTGAAGCTGTGCAGTTGTATAGGAGTGGTTAACACATAACATGTGCATGAACTTAAAATGTATATAAACAAGCTTATGCATTGTAGGTAGGTTAAAATTTTTAAACATTTTAATCAGCTTTTTGCCTTCTATAGTTAATTTTAAATAGTCATGTGGTGTGACAAAGGAATTTTTAAAAAGCGCAAATATTCCATGTAGTTAAATATGAGCAGGCATGCATAAAAATGATTAAAAATACTACTAAAATGCAAATCATTTTAAGTATTTCATGTCCATATTTCATTATGTTTCCTACAGAAGTATTTTGCACATTTAAGTGCATATTAAATTGTACGTGTTTATTTATTAAACACTGTATGTCAAATCCATACTATGCCTAGATCCATTTATGTTGCAAAGATCACAAGCTCAGCTAGAGCTGGAATCAATGGGTTCGGCTACCTTATTTAGCCACGTGTGTGTATTTGTGTTTGAGTGTGTGTGTTCCTGAAGGAGTTTTCTGGCTAGCGGGCCTCTAACCTGCTCCTCATCAGTCACCCTAAAGCGCTCTGACAAACCCAAGATCTCTGCTAGCATGCAAGTTCACTTCACATTAATTCCACCCAAAATGTTTTGATTCAAAGTAGTTTGTATTTTATGTTGCCAAGGGCAATTGAAAAAGAGCTATTGCCGGTAGTCTGGTCGCGCGCGCCGGGCCCAGAGGCGATAGCGGGTATTTAAGCGCGAGGGAGAGTAGCCCGAGGCAGCGCGCGAGCGATCACAAAGCGAATCAAGCGCTTTTTGCGAGTTTGCCACGAAAATTAAAGAAAAAAAGACATAGGCCAAATGTCATTCTGTTTCTATTTCAATTGTGGCGGTGGTGTGTGTTTACGCGCGCGCCTCACGCTCATCATCACCCAAAACACAGACGCACGCGCACAGTGAGAGAAAGATGCAGTGTGTGTGTGTGCGTGTAAAGGCGGGGTGAAGCGCGATCAAATTCCTGAAAGCTACGAGGGATAATCATGATTAAAACACAGACGACTTTTCTAAGTAGGATCCTCGTTTCTTGACTGATTTCTTTTGAAAAAGGTTATCTGAATATTCAACGAAGCCAAAGCTGCAGTCAGTGTGAACAACATTAATATGATCTCCACTGAATTTGGAGCCGCGCGGCATTAACATATCAAAGCGTGCGCCCGAGGCGCGAGAAGCTATCGATACCGGAGCGCGAGGTAAAGCAATGATTATTGGTTGTGATGGTTGGAGCGGCGGAGCTCGCGGCTAAATCCTGCACACCATTAACTGGAAGTGATGGCGAGCCCAACACCTAGACAGAGTTTATTAAAAATTAAGCGCCCGAGACACCGCTCGCTTTATGGCAAACTCCACACGTGTGTCGATCCGCTGCAGCTTTGAGGAGACAGACAAAGATGCGACTGATATTAAGAAAATATTAAGAAACGTGGAACACGATTCGATTCATCCGCACAAGACTCGCGGTTTTACAAAATACAGCGGCAGACAGACAGAGAATACAGAAATTTTTCTGAGATTATCTTGAACGGCTCTCAGTGGAGAATGACCTTGAGAAATGTATGTTTTATCGGGGTTTGAACTTCTGAAACCGATATAGTTCCTTAATTATGCCGTCTCTGACTAATTAATTGATCAATTTTCTCTGAATTGCGACGTCAGCTAGAAAGATAATAGTAAACATGCTTTGAGGCAAGTAATACACATTTTAAAAGAAACACCAACGTCTAGGACAACAAAACCATCACCAATAATAATAATAATACATTTTAAACAACTGATATTTGTTTTCAGAAAAGTAGCCTATATAATACGTAAAAGATAATATGAATTTGCAGCTTTTTGCCTGAGGAAATAATATAAAATGATACAAATTGTTGCATCCAAAATGTAAATACAATATGCATTTAATTAAGCTGAATTCATTTACATTTTTCCTGCCGATACTGAAATGTTCATTATTTTTGTTGCATTTGTTATTTATCTGTTTTTTTTTTCAGTAACAGTAATAATTTAACAATCTAACAATGAAAGCAGTGGGCCTGTTGATTGACATCAGGAAAGCCAAAATTTAAAAATATTACAAAGAAATGATTTCCCTACATTTTTAGTAAAATAGTATTACTATTACCGTTGTCGGTATAAAACATATTTTTGGGGGATTCTTAAATGAATAAAACCAACGCGATTTTAGTATCTTTAAATTAAAAGGCTAAAATGCTTATGCTAAAATAGTAAATCCTTATCTTGTCACTGGAAAGCAGTAAGTAGGCTATTAAATATACCCAAAAAAAAGTCTCCTAGTCTCCTGTAATTATAAAATAAGAATTCAAATCATATTATCAGACAAGACTAACGTTAGTGGAAATATAATTATAAATAAATAAAAAATAAAAACACCTTATAAAAGAAATTAAATGAGTGTGTGCTTCTCTTGCTCTCTGTTTATGTGTGTGTTGTGTGACCTTACCTCTCCGAATCACTCCACCTTGTCCATTTAACACGAGTCCGCATTGCGCGTCTACAGATCCCTAGACACACATACACATATACATGAACTTCATAATAATAAACTCATCTTAAACATGGTGATCAGTATTTAGGTTTTTGAAGAGGCATGTGTGACAAATTAAACAGACCACGTGGTAACAGGTAGTTAAGTTGCAGAGGTAACGGAACCTGTTACATTATGATGTCAAACCAACAGATTATTTTACGTTCTCTTATCAGTGATGTCATCAGCCGAAAGAACACTAGATCGCATCAAAAGAAAAGAGTTAATCCTTCTCACAAGCCACGACCAGTCTGGAG